CTATCTTTTCGGATTGTTTGGAGCCCCGAAGAGTTTGCTCTTCGCCAGGGCCACCGCCTCTCTTGGGTAGCGGGTGAGGCAGTCTCACCTTTCTGAATCTTCCTCAAAGAGATGCCACCGCCGGACCTCCGTAGCGGGGCTTCTCTGCTGCCAGTGCTCCAAATTTTGGGGCTCCTCGCTGCACAATGGATAGATCGGGTGCGATGTTATATCTATTCTATTTTTGTAACCCCGCAGCCCAGAGAAGTGACCAGCCCTGAGTTTTTGCAAATAGTGACTTGTCGCATTGGGACTCCATTTTTGGATGGATGGGTGGATGGATGGATAGATGGATGGGTGGATAGTATGATCAATATCCCCAAAGTACGTGTCCCCAGCAATTGTACATTGACAACATATTGCATACCATCCAGCATCTAGTTTATTATACTAAATTCAATATGTGCTGTCGTTATCATAGATGAGCTATTAGTATGACATATGTGAGGCAGCGTGGTGGAATCAGGCTCTCGTCGACTTTTGGGCATGTAGAGTTATTGGTATCATCTTAAAGTTTGTTCACCTGTCTTTGTTTGGATGAACAAAGTATCCATTTATCTTGAATACAAGTCGAGATATTTGCAATAAAAGGAGGTGGGGGTCATCTGTTTTCAAAGGTAAAATTTGTGAGAAAATGGCCGCCTAAGATTAGTTATTTCCTTAGCTTAAAAGCCTGTGGTAACTGAAAATTTACTTTTTTGTGTGCCTTTAATCAACGTTTTTCAGAAAATGTATACAGAAATGAGTTCTTTAATGGGCATGAAAGGTGTTGAGCCAAAAAACAAAAATTTGATAAAAATTCACAAATCTGCGGAAAAATGCAAGTTTCTTCACTTTGATTATTTTGACGAGAGCCTGATTCCACCACGCTGCCTCACATATTATACAGGCGTATTATTAATACTAATCATGATGTTTGAATTGAGATTTTTAGAAGCATTTTTATGAGCGCATGCGTTTGGATAAGGTGCCATCTTGGCCTTTCTGTGGACGAAAAAGGGGACACCGGGTTAATTTACGACTAATTTTCAGCAATGGAATTACATTTTAATCAATAAATGATATTCTCGCGTCAGAGAAAAAAAATGTGCCTCCGGTTTGAAGCACACAGTGACTGTCCCTTAATATACTTCTTTCGTCTCCGTGGGGGATATCGGAGGGTCTCTTGCAAGCAGTTTTATCAAGGCGCACGCACTTCCATATGTGTCTCGACGCGGAGGAATCAGGCGCTCGTCAATTTTTGGGGCATATACAGTTATTGGTACCATCTAAAAGCCTGTAAATTTGCCTTGCTTTTGATGCAAAAATATCCATTTATCTTTGATACAAGTCAAGACATTGGCTATTGAAGAAGGTGAGGATTGACTGGCTTCAGAGGTAAAATTAGCGAGAAAACGACCGTCAAAGTTGAGTTATATCCTTAGCTTGAGAGTCCGTGGAAACTGAAATGTCCATCTTCTATGTCTTTAAACAACTTTAATCAGTAAAATCCAATCAGAAAATGTGTGTTTAATGGGCATGAAAGATGTTGAGCAAAAATGCAAAAATTCAGTAGCAATTCCCAAACCTGCGGGAAAATGCCAGTTTATTATTATGGTGTGTGCCTCATTTCACCGGCTGCCTCACATATAATGAAATTTAGCGGCCAAGGCCCGGCGGCGCTGTTGTCGCTACTGTTGCTGCTGTTGTTTGTGAAGGTAGTGGCGTTTGTGATACTGATGGCCAGGTTTTTAGCTATTACTATTATGACATTTTATAGCCATTACTATCATAACATTTCATAGCTATTACTATCATACCATTTCATAGCCATTACTATCATACCATTTCATAGCCATTACTATCATAACATTTCATAGCTATTACTATCATACCATTTCATAGCCATTACTATCATAACATTTCATAGCCATTACTATCATAATGTTTTCAGGCTATTACTATCATAACATTTCATAGCCATCATTATCGTAATGTTTCATAGCTATTACTATCATAATGTTTCTAAGCTATAAAACAACCATAACGTTTCAAAGCTATAAAACTATCATAAAATTTCACAGCAACCTGTAAACTACCATAGTTTTTCAAAGTTATAAACTTACCTTACAAAGCTATAAAACTATCTCAGGGTTTCAAATATATAAAACTATCATAACGTTTCATATTTCTGATATCTTTCCTTCAGATCGGCCAGTCTTCATCCTTACCTATACCATCACAGAGGGGCCCCAAACAGTCCTTTGCCACAACAAGTCAACGTAACGAAGCAAAAGGGACTCCTCTGCCACGAGGGTTCAAAATCTCACCAAGGGTCCAAGAACTATTCACATTTGGTCATATTCTTTAACACTGAAGAATAATAAATAATTTAAAAGTTCACCCATATTAACAGAGGCAAGAACATACGCTTTGCTATCGCTAAACTGCACCACGGATAGACAGCTGGAATTGAAATTCT